CGATTCCTTTCCGCCCGATTCTCGCCGAGCGTTACGGTATCGCGAGGCAATTTCTCCGCGAGATACGTGGCAAAAAATCGCGCGGACCGAGCTGCGAAAGATGGTAGTCTGGCGGTCGCGCGACTCGCCGATTCGCGGCAAAGGTGAAAGGCCTGGTATATGGGACACCGGCTGGCCAGAACTCGTCTACGTGGTATCCTTTTCTTGACGGTACGTCTACAGCACGCACTGGAAGGGAGAGGATCGCGCGACGAGGGGCCACGGGGGGCGATCTTAGCCGAACCTTTTACGGGGAAGGCGAACGACCACCGAGAAATCGGAACGCGAATCGTTGGACTATGCTCCTCTTTCCATCGGCCCGTTCCGATGCTCTCTAACAAAGATGGGATGGGACCGATCGCGAGCACCGATTCGTCTGTCCTCGATTCCGAGCCCGATTCTCCTTCTCGGATAGGGGGCTCGCGTTTCGAAACCATTTTCAACCATCCCGTGCTCCGGTTGCTCCGAATCGCGCGAGAGAAAAGTATAGGTATAGGAAGAAAATATTACGATATAAGAGGGAACGCGTTGGAAAATAAACGGATCTAAAGGAATATTTAGGAAATCGGGTGAAATGTACGGCGAGACACCGTGATTCGTGGAAGGGATTAAAAGCTAGGAATGCCATTGGCTCGTGGTCCCGCGGTTAATCGAATTTGGTTAGATCGGTACACGGACGAAGCGAGAGATACGCCGAAGGCGCGGAGAAGAAGATTTAGCGAGCATTCCAATGGAGAACTGGTGGCGGGAGCATGGTCGGGAGTGGCGGTGGATCGCTTCCTCGTTCTGTGCCGGTCTCGAGGAGAACCGAGCCGTGAGAGGAGGAGCGACTAGTTTGTCGGGCAAACCGTTTAGCATCCGTGTAAAAAAGATTCCCGATGATGCCCGGACATCGTTACTAAGCCGTCGCTACGCGCCGGTGTGAGCGATCTAACAGAAAAGGAACGGGAGAAACGCACCGTAGGAGCAATGCCCCTTGGGTCAGGGTCAGTACCCTTTGGCACAAGCCACTCGAACCGCAGCCACGCACGTACACGCACACGCGCTTCAAACTCGCGCCTGCACACGCACACGCACACCTGCGTGCCCGTGGTCTTTCGGTACCGATAGCTAAAACCATCCTAACAGAGCATCTCCGGCACGCGGACATCGCGGAAACCGTGCTCGATTTCGGCTCCACGCGCGCCATCCACGCCATCCACGCCATCGCCTACCTTTCCGGGATCATCCTTTTCCAGGACCAAGAACCCCGTTCGTCGGTTAGACGTTCCACTTTCCACTTTGGATAGTCGAGCGACCAGCGCCGTGCGGCGATCTTGTTATGCAAAGAAGTACGCCTAGGTTTCGTTTCTCATTCGACCAGCTGTGTGTAGAGAGGCCGACGCGATCTGAAATTGTAATCGTAATGCCGTCCTGTTCTGGATTACCGTTTGCCATCGGGACCACGACGACGGTCCCTTTGACCGGTGCTATCGCGATTCGAAGACCAGCTAGACGACCAGGCACGCGTTCACCTGAATGGACTCGGACAACCTTGACGGACCGGTCTAGGAATCTATGTCTATGTCTATGTCTAGCCTGCGTCTAGACGAGTCGAGCGTGACTAGGAACTATCGTCTTTTCTATCGTTCTTCTCGAGGTCGTAGTCTGGGACCTTCGCGAGCGTGAAAGTGCTCGGCGATACACACGCGCGTACGTGATTTTTATCCTTGCCGGATAGCTTGGCGGAGGAACTGGTATCGGAACGGGCGTTAGACGGCCGGAGAATCGGCAACGGCGAGAGGGAATCGTTATCGTTTCCCATCGTACCACGGCCAATTGCACGCTGGCGCGCGCACTGCTCTCGATTAATTATTATCGCATCGAAAATTACCGCACCTCGCGACCTGCAATTTAATACAGCTCGACACCTATTACGCAATTACGATTTAAATCTAATTCCGGCAACGCCGAACAAACTCCGCGTATCCGCGACTCGCGTTGCGCTGTCCGGATCGATAACCGTTCGATCGCAATTAAATCGGAGACGAAGGTGCCGACAGGGAAATTTTATACCGCGTTACGTAAATCCGGCCGCGTATCGATCCGATCAATCGCGTATCCGCGCGATCGGCGAAATTCGTTTGCTCGGAAAGTTGTTGGTCGCGCAACGCCGGCTAGCGCGAGCATTCGGCTCTTGCACGAGCAATGCGTTCGCGAAATTGCTATCCCGCCGGTAATTTCGTTATCCTTCTCTCCCCCAAAGGATACGTTTAATCGGGTAAACGAGTAAAGCCCGTATCTCGTGCGCATACCGAGCATTTTCGCCCGATAACTATCCAATGGCAATTAAAACGGAAAGCTAAGATCATACGCGAGCCAACAGCTCTGTCGGAATGAAACGTATAATCAGGCTTAATCGCGTTAATCCTCGATCTGGTACGCGGTGGCAATTAAGACGATACGTGCCCGGTTGGAAGCGGTCCGCGCCGGGTTCCCCGAAGCCGATTCGCCAGCAGCGGAGCTTGCGACTCCCGCGAATAAGGGCCGGGTAATGGTCGAAAATCGATACGCGTGTCGATAAAATTGTAGCGAAAATTTCCGGTAAATTGCCGGTTACCGGGCTACTTTCTTGCAAGAGGAGTTTCTGCGTAATCACCGCCGCGTATCCGGCTCATAGGCGCTAACTTTCTTACGCTAACCACGGTGGACGTCGACCCGACAGATGGCCCGGTTCCAGCGAGGTAATTAGGGAGGTAGCGATTGCTTATAATGAGGGATCTCCCCCCTTCTTCGTGCTTTCGATCTTTACGAAATCGCGTCCATATTCCACGCACAGGGCCCCGGGAGATCGTAATCCGCCTTCTGCGTTCCTCTTCGCCCGAGTCGCCGGATAACTCTCCGCGACACCGCCTCGAGACTCGACTTAGCCCTCCATCCGCCTTCCCTCCCTCCTCCCCCCCGGATTCCGAGAGACTCATGGAGTGCCGCGTACTCGATCTACCAATTATTTCGATCAATCCACCACTTTCCTCGGATACGGCGTTCCGCTTTGAAGCATCGTCGTCGGCTTTCGAAAGCCGACGGAGAATCAGCTTCATCGACCGGTCGTCTCGGGGCTCGTGGAACTCGCGTCGCGTTCCGTGAACCGTATCGGTTTATATTCCCGGAGAGAACTCTCGAGTAAAGAACGATAAAGGAGAGAGAGATAAGAATTTCCAGGAACGGGGAAAACGCGCATACTCGCTGGCGTATCGCGCGTGCAGATGGTTAACCGGCGGCGCCCTCGATATTTTCGCTCCCGATGGCGCCAACTGCACGCGCTGCCACAGATGCAGAATTCTCCTAACGATAGCAGAGAACGCGCCTCCTAACGATGCCAAGGATATCTGTGTTTCGCCGGAGTGGCGTCGACGTCCGCCGGTAATTTCGACTGCTCTCGTCGGTTTCGGTGCACGGCGAGCCTCGTAAACGGAATAAAGGAGTAGTTAAGAGCGGACTGAGAGGCCGGAAATAATTTCCCTCTCGATGTCGCCCCTTTAACGAACCCTCGATCGTGCCCTCGCGTTCACCCTTTCTAAATCAGTGACGATCATCGAGAGGCGAACGAGGCAATGAACCAATCGGGCCTTCGATCGAGAGGGTTGAGAATAGGGTCGCACCCCATCTCGCCAAGACTGCCGCCGAGGAGACAAAAGGCTGCCTGGGACGCGAGATGCCACTTGCTTTATTCGCTTTCGAGGAATAAGGTGTTACCCGTTCGAGACGCTCGCGAGATTGATCCAGAACCCGCTCCTCGGTGTGGAAAATCCGAGGATCGGTGAAAGAAACGCGTCTTCCCGTCGTCGGTTTAACTCGCGCGTTAAATTTCCATTCCATCCGCGGCGTGACATCCCGCGGGAATACAGGGGCGGATGAAACGGGCCTCTCTAACGAGACGAAACGTCCACGACGGCAGGCGAAAATCCACGGGAAAACGAAGGCTCTAACTAGCGACGAAAGTCATCTCTGTCCGTAAAGAGGACGTAAAAGATCGCGTTACGCTGCTTTGAATTTCCTTACCGCGTCAGACCTCGGAGAAATCTGCCGAGCGCAGACGGTACCCCATTTGTCGGTCGCTAGCGCGAACCAGGGAAAAAGAGAATTCTCGCACGTCGGGCGACGGGCTCTTACAATGGTACCTGCCCTTTACGGACAGATAAGGCGCGATAAGCACTCCTCGTTAAGCTCGATCCGCCGATAACGCGATCGACGGGTCTGCGACGAAACCGTTCAACGTTTCCCGCGTGCCTCCTGATATTTCATTCTTCGGTTATCCGTTCTTATCGGACGTCGTACTTGCCTCGTCACCCAACGCCCATTACCGAACATCCTCGACGAATCGGCTCCAACGGGATGGGAATAAAACCGTGAAACGACCGGCGTCGATTTCCTCCACGAGCAACCGCTCCTCCGTCATCCCGGATCACACCGGGGACCGAACTCGGGATGCCTATGCGTCCGTCGAGTAGGGTTGCGAACGATACCTGCGAACCTATAAGTCGCCCATAGTCGATGCCAGCCGTCGACCCACGTTCCCGTTCGACCAGGTTTCCCAGAAAAATTCTGCCCGCCGCGGAGAATCGACATCTCGCGTGCTTTCCGAGCGCAAATTCCCGAGCAAGCGTTATTTAGCGCAGGTCCAGGCTCGTAAATCTGCCACGAATTCTGCGAATTAGTCGGGTTCGCGTCGCTATAAATTCTCGGATTAAAAAGTTTTAATCGGCCGCTGACTGAAGCTACGCTACCGGTACCCGAACCTTTGCAGCTCCGCGCAGCCCGACTCCCACGCGAGCGTAATCTCGGTTGACCGATTTCGTCGCTGCGCGTGTAGGTATTTGAAAAAGAGATCGATCCCGGAATCGTAGCGTAGCTTTCGGATGTTACTCGTGAACGAGAATACCGGGGCAGATATTTCAGCTACCTTTTCTTTCGGTTTCTAGCTGGTGAACGGCCTCGACAGACCCAGGTACATCTGCGAGACCGAGGTCATGGAGGAGGTGAACGTGGCCAGCGCCACCTCCGTGGAATACACCTCTCCGGAGAATCACGCGAATAAGAACGCCAATGGGACCATCATCACGCTCACCCTCAAGAACAACCATCTTATCGTGGAGACGGAGGAGCGAGCAGTGAGTAGAGCATCTCAGACGTGATCGGGGACGGAAAAAGTGGCGTAATCGCGCTACCGATTTCCGCGGGGATGCGTTCGAGAGCTCGATTCGGCTCTGACGTTCGATCGATGCAAATTATTTCGCGGTCCAGGCACAGCGGGGCCAGGGGATTTGATTTTGTCGACGGACAGAGGACTTCTTCCGCGGATCCAATTAAATGCAATTCGTCGATAATTGGAAGGCTGCTTCATTAGCGGTCCGCACGGCGGGACAGATAGGGGTGAGGGCAAGGTGGTGCAGTTCATGGCTGGCGTAATAACCGAAATGTTAGTTAATCCGCGTGGAAGATGAAATTGGTCGAGATTGGTGCGCGGAACGCCCGTTAATTAGTTATTAAAGGGAAAGATGAAAAGGAGGGAAAAAGAGTAATATATCGCGGGTGCTTGTAAAATCTATGGTGAAAAGGACGGTTGCCGGTAAAAGAAAAGGCTCTCTGGAGAATCCAACGAGCATCGATCTACTCCCTTTACGACCAACTCTGTTCCAGAACCGTCTCGTCCTTGGAAATTTTCCCTCGTCCTTTCCTTCGGGCAACGAAGGTCCACGATTCGTCTGCGACGCGACGCGTAACTGGAGGATCGGGGTGATCGGCATGCTAGGTACGATAAAGGCGCAACAGGTGCGGAAAGGTGGACAAATCGAGAAATCGGGTGGAGGAGACGAGACGATAGCTCGTCGCCTTAAACTAATTAACCCGATCGCACGCGAGCGTTTACTTCTATCAAGATCCTCCGAGTCGTATCTATTATCTCGATAAACATCGCGGTTCGCCACGCAGACGATAGCGTTCCACGACGATTCGAGCGAATCGATACGCTTCGGGTACGCTCCTGCACGCTGTTACGCGTTCGTTTATCGCGTTTTTCGCTCGCGTATTCGCGCGATGCGAAACGGTAACGGCTAGAGGCCGGACAAGAGTCATGCCGGATTAATATCTCCCTTTGTTCGAGAGAGTGTACCTGAGGGCATCGTGAAATCGATCCACGAGCCGGAGATTCGTGCAGCTGGGTCAGCCAGTGGCTCCTCTTTGACAGGGATAACAGGTTCGCAATTATCGGGACTCGTACACGGCCCTGTAAGGTCGAAGGTTACCAGGCAATTTCGCCTCCGCCTATCGTCCTACTTACGGGCTCAGACTTATCCGTGGAAACTCATCTTGCCGGGGATTCGGCAAATCCGCTGGGTTAGCGCTTCCACTCTCTTCGCCTCTCTCTCTCTCTCTCTCTCTTCGCTTCGCTTCGCCTCCCTCCGCGCCCGGATTCCGACGAAATTTCATTGGAACAACGTTTTCGAAAATCGAAGTAATCCGGGCCGTATGCTCGCGCGAGATGACCTGTTGCGATTTAATTCGCTTTCGGGGTGATCCCCTGGTCGAATAGACCGGCGGAGGGAGCGCAGGTACGACGGGCGCGTAGCGTTTGCTCGAGGAAAAAATTTCCTTCCACGCCCGGGACTCTTCTTCTTTCTTCTCCGTTCCCTCCCCTTGGCCGCCTTTAGGTCATATCTCCCCTTCTTTCCTCCCGGTTGACACGGATACACGAACAATGTGCGCACACCCTAAACCGTCGAACGCGCGATCGAACAACGAAAGGGCGTGGATCCGTGCCGTTGGATCCCGGACAGAGTCCCTAAACCCGTGGTGAAGTTGGCGCGTAGCACGTGCTGGACGTGCTGCACGGCCAGCGAGTCCGTGATAATCGACAGATAAACGAAATCAACTCGCCTGCAATCGAGTCGCGCGCTTACATGGGAGTTGAATGTACCGCGCTTCCGCAGCGATAAAACGATACGGCTCTCGATGATATCGCCGGGATAAACGGCTGGATTATCAGCGAAGAAACTCGTCGCTGAATTATCCACGATAAATCGCCGGGCTGCGTCGCGTTCCCGTCCTAAGCACCTCGAGTATCGGGGATCGCGAACCGATCGCTGTCGGCAAAGAAAGGGTGGAGGGTGGCGCGACACGTCGGGGTTGGTTGAGTGGCCGCGCGCACCATTCCGTGGAAACGGGAATATCCGTCGTCGGACCAGTCGTCTAAGAATCGATACTTTCTCGATACGTATATCGGTCTACCTTCGGAGTCGGCGAGTAACCGGCAGCTGCTACCGGGAGAAAAAGCACCAGGCAGACTAAACAAACGAACGGACAAATCTGCCGGGCTCGTCGATGGTTATTTCAGCCACGACAAGCGTCTTAGCGCACTTCCTCCGTAAAGGAATGCAAAAACCGCGCGCTGCGTTTGTTCGGGATGTGGACAGATAGAAAGGGGACAAGAAACGGAAGGGGGTCGAAGGGGTGGATGCTCGGGATGCTTCGACGTAATACTTGGCTCGGCGCCAAATCGCGGAGTTCACCCTCGGTCGCGTGGAATACCCTCAGAATTCGAGAAATACTCGCACTATCGAGGCTACGAGTGCTGTTTCTTTCGAACGAAGTGCGCTTCGTCGAAGGGCATCCAGTTCGTTACCTCCTTCTATCCAATCGACTCTCTCCCCCCCCCGTGTCAGATAAAATCGACCAATCGATCCCTCGAAATACGAGCATTCTTCTTCGCACCTTCGAAACACCGGGTCGACGAGTTTTGGCTCGTCGTAAATCATCGCGAGGGAAAAAACGGGAAGAAAAATGGGAAAAACGCGAAAGTCGACGAACGCGTGTCTGCTTTAAAAACCTTCGTCGTGATCCGGGTCGATGCATGCATCGAGAGGCGAGCGGTGGTGGTCTGGTAAAAAGGAAACTGCGCGATGCAGCGTGACCCAGTATGCTGCTTTGCCGAACCATTTGAACTTTATTCTACAAATTAGCCGTCGGGTACGTTGTCGCATAGCCCGCTGAATCGTCTGCCTGCATTACCGTTGTCGGTCTGCGCAGTTTCCACGAAGATGCAATTGCATCTGAAGTTTAGGCGCATTCAAGACCGCTGATACGGTTATTGGACACCGGAACGTTTCCACTTGCCGTGCCGGAGCAACGGCATGCTCGAGATGTTATTGAATTTTCTTCCGCTAAACTCGATCTAAACTTTGCAATTAACGTTGCAGCTCGCGATTGTTTCCAACAACATTTTCATCGAGTCCGTATTTAATTCGACGACTTTCGATTACCCCCTACGGCGCGGTGAATAATTAGTTTCAATCAGCGCCGCCGTCCGCGTTCCGTCGTTGATCCCGTTTCGAGGATAAAAAAAAATTTGGGTTATAAAAGGTTATTAACTAGCAACCGGGGTATAAATAACAGCTAGAAGGGGCACGAACTACGCGTCATCCGTTTAGTGGAGCATCCGGGATCAGTAACGCGTGATCGGTAATCTCGCACCCTATTATGCATCGATTAATTTATTACGTGGAAGATTAAATTCTCGGCGAAGCGTTTCCCCTGTGATCTCGATAAGCAAACATATTTATACGTGCAACGAGGTAATATCGTCGTACCCGCCGCGTTCGCTCCTCTGCGTCCGAGTATCTCCGAATTTTCCCTGCCCCAATTTCCATATCAATCTCGCCGTTTGACCGCTCGATGGATCGTAAAGAGCGATCCTTAATAATCCCGCGACGGGGACGAAGGCATGCCGGAAAGCAAGGTTGCGAGAGACCAGGGTTGCACGGGGTCGGGAACGCGCGGAGACGGGGCGAGTTACCCTCGAGCTGCAGTTGTTCGCGAGCTACTCGGAAGCGGTAGCGGAAGCGTACGAGTCCCTGAATTATGGCCGTTTCCAGCGACTCGGCTTTTCCAAAACGGCCCCGGCCGTTCCGAGACCCGCCTTTTCTACCTGAGATTTCGAGCCAGGCTTTTAAAGTGGAACGAATGGCCGTCCCATTTTCCTTTCCACGTGGCACGCCCCTTCTCGTCCTCCAACGCTTCTCCCCTCTAGGTAAAATGCCTCTCCTCCTGCCACCCTCCTATCGCGCGTCATCCGCAAATCTGCGTCGCGTCTCTGGTGGACGATTCGTTGGCCGATCTATCGAAGAAAGTCGCCGCTTTCTCCGTCCGGGGATGGAGAAAAACTGCGAGACTCGCAGTCCGCTTATACGACGCCTCGGGGAGCCGGTTTTCTCGAGGAATCGAGAAGTAGAAGCCACTTTGCTTCTGCCTTCGACCCCACCGTCTCCAAACCTCCCTTTCGAACGTTCGGGGACAAAGGTTCTATCGGTTCGACCGACTCCCTTCTTTCTTCCAGTCGCGCCAACTCTCGCAAGTTTCTCGCGGAACGCCGCGAGGTAAACGCTGCGCGATTCGTCGCTAAAAGACTTCTCGTTTCCACACCCCGGAATCGCGCCACCTTTCGAACCGGCCAATCCCGAGGCGCCACGGAACGGTAACCCCTCGACGCTGGCATGTCTCCCCGAGATCGGTGCATTTCAAGGTTCACGCTCTAACCCGGAAGAATTTGGGCGAAAATTCGATACGAGTCGCATACTTTCCACGATCGGAATCTGCCGCGCGTCGAAGTAATCCGCTCGGGCCGAGGTGTCGAAGCTTGGACAGCCTAACTCGGTAGTCCCGGACGTGGTAACCGCGAGATCAAGGACGTCGCGAGATTCCAGCAAATGACAACCCCGTTCCGGACTACACGCGCCTACGTGCGATGCCTATCGATCGCGAACCACCGACAAATGGGGTGGCAAACGTCGCCACGCGCGTTCGAGCAACCTTGCTCGTAGGAGATAGTCTATGGGATTTATGCGAGTCGTAAAAGATAATTCGTCAAGACGACGACGTGTGCACTTTCGATTACCAACCGGTCGACGTACCGACGATCGTTCGGAGGATGCGTTTCCCTTCTGACGTATTCCCGATAACTCGGGGCGCGTGAGCAACGTGCCACCGAGTGGGAGACGGGTCGCGAGGCGAAGCAGAGAGGAACGCGTCGGAATAGGAGAAACTGGAAACAATAGCGAGAACTAATTCTGCGGTCCGTCGACTCGAGTAACTTCCATCGCGGTTGCGTTTGTACACGGCCCGCGGCTGTGCGGGTCACGGGTAAACTGGAAACATCGGCGAGCAAATTCATAGGGTGGAAATTAATTTCCTAGTCTCCGTGCGTGCCACCGAGTACGCCGTCGTGCCTTTGTTAACAGTTAGCGACCGTCCATCTTCCAAATGCCACTACTGTTCCGATCGTTCGAGGTCTGTCTTTCTCGTCTCCTCGCCCCGGTTCGTTCCTTTGTCCTCGCTGTCGTCTCGAGTAGATAACCGAAGTAAAGGAGCCGATGATGCATCGAGCTCGTAATTGCGAGGTGCTTTGAACCGTGCTGCCTGATCGTGTTGCACCGTTTCAACGCGGCAACCAAGGGTCGAGGTGAGATCGCGAAGCTGGCGAAACGAACCCTTCTAATGACACGATCATTCGTCAAACGATCAGTCCCCATCCGAGCATTTTGCTCTGCAAGCAGATTCAACCATCGCCCTTTTCCTCCATACTTTGTCGCGATTTCTCCTCTTTCCCCCTTTTCCTCTCTGCCTTTTACGAGACTGGCAATAAACGCGCTCTCGTGCCGACGTAAAAAAGCCGTGTACGCGCTGTTTGGTTGAGAAGACAGCGAAGAGTAGCTAACGAAGCTTGGTCGTTTGCTTGTTTTAGGTGACGATGGGGGACAATAAAAATCGCAGGTACCAAGATAACGGGTGCTCGTTCGTGGTGGAGGTGCAACCGAGTTATCAGAACGAGGACAGCCAGGCCATTCTTTCCCTCTTTTCCTATCTGCCTTTTACGAGACTGGCAATAAACGCGCTCTCGTGCCGACGTAAAAAAGCCGTGTACGCGCTGTTTGGTTGAGAAGACAGCGAAGAGTAGCTAACGAAGCTTGGTCGTTTGCTTGTTTTAGGTGACGATGGGGGACAATAAAAATCGCAGGTACCAAGATAACGGGTGCTCGTTCGTGGTGGAGGTGCAACCGAGTTATCAGAACGAGGACAGCCAGGCCAACAAAGGATCCACCGACGACGTGACTGCCGGGGTTACCGATCAGCAAGCGCTGGTTCACAGAGAAGAAATTCCGGAAGATCGAGCACCGGGTAGGTGACCGTTTCCATCGTAGCTGTTCCTTTTTGCCCGCGCGCTGTGCGCAAACAGCGCGGATAAAAAGCGCTCGGCAAAGAACGTTTCACGGCAATTAAGCTCGTATTACGCAGGTTTCGAGAACACGAGATTATTTGGAAGCACGAACACGGGATTGTCGCAGTCGGATCTCTCGATCTCTAGCCAGGGCTCGGTTAATCCCAGCTATCGTTATGGAAATCAAGTGGAGTACGATGCGGGCCATCTGGGTTACCCGATGTACGGGGGTAGCTACGAGTCCGATACGTTGTCCCGGAAGCTAGAGGGTGGTTCGAAATGGGTGGAATTCGACAAGTCGCCGGACACCGAGAAGGCCTTGCTGAACGTGTCCAAGACGTCGAGCGTCGAGAAGGACGCCGAGGAGAGCGTAAGTGACGATTTTAAGCGAGATGGAAAATTTCTTAGCTCGATAAGATAAGGAAAAGAGAGAAATATTGGCTGAACGATGGCGAACTTGTTTTCTTTCAGCCATCGATGACGGGGAAACAGAACAATCTGGACGTTTCCCAGGGATCCGGAGGATCCATGGACCAGCAGGATTCCACGGACGCGAGTATCTCGACGGACACGGTTCGCTCGAACCCGAATCTCCAAGTGAACGGCGCCACGCCGAACAAACTGGAGATCATGGAGCAGAAAGCGCTGAACAACGACTTTGGCAAATCGGAGGCTAACAAGCCCGTGATAACCGGAGCGTTGCTGAAAGACGACGTCCAGGAGGACGCTTTTCAAGAACAGCAGCGGAAGTTGGGTAACGGGACTCTGACGCCGGAGCACAAGGAAGACAGGCCAAAGAGTCAGAAGCCCGAGTCGACTTTTGTCCCGAGTCATAAACGCAGCGGAAGTATTCCACCGCGACTGATCGAGGAGACGTTGGAGCTGGAACTGGAGCCGAAGAAGTCGTTGGACATTTACAGTCAGATCAAAACCAGCACCAAGAGCATACTCCCAGGCTTGAGTCCAAAGTTCGAGCTTCTTCAGAACGAAGTCAGCCCTATCGAGGAGAAGGAGAGTTAATAGGGATGGTTAGCGACGTCTCTAACGCGAACCATCTCAAAGGACGACATCGAACGACGGAACTGAGCATCGAAAGACGTTTCCACGTGGTCCGTGGACAAAGGGAAGACGATTTTCTACCGAAAGATTTCAATGTCCACGGCGATTTCGCCCCTCGAGTACTCGCGCAGAGCCAAATCAAAAACTCGGCCACGGGTGGTGGCGAGTCCGATCCTGAGTCGAGCAACCCGCTCCCATCCTCGTCGACGGCGATTTTTATTTAACGAAAAGTCCAAAAACTCATTGTAGATATCTCATCAACGCCGATACTCACCGACGTCCCCTTCGGGGCGTTCCTGGAGATTTTATCCGAGGCTTTTCGAGAAAAAGAAAAGAAAAAAAAAAGAAAAAAGAAAAAATACCGGGATACCGACGAAACAGCCATGTTTATTCCACGCTCGAAGAACTCTCCGCGACGAAACGAGGAACGACGAGAAGAAGAGCGACAAAGAGACGTCGCGCGTCCGAGTTTGGCCACGATAAAATCATCGAGGGAGAAAATCACGGCGGCGGATCGATGGGACAGCAGCGTGGTGGAAGTTGGTTAGAGTGACCAGGGCAAATTGGTCGTATCCAGGGGAAACCGTGCTTCATAGCACGCTGCCGGCAGAGGCGCTCGGAATTGACAATATATCCTAATGACTCTCCGCCAGTTCCCAGCCCTTAACTCCGCCACCCTCCCGCAGCCATTCCTCTCTCCACCCCTCGTTTCCTCCTTCAACTCACCGCCTCTGTTCTCTCGGCGTTCGTGCGCTCCACGAACCCTGTCCGCCCGCTAAATTTACCAAAGCGAGGATCTACGAACCACGGAGAACAATCGTCGACTAACGAACTCGACGCGCCACTGCGGATTCCGCGCCCGTGGCTCTGTGCGCGCAGCAACCGCAACCGCATCCACGGCCAGAGCACCGCAGTCGGTTCATCGCGCGTTCTCCAATGGACCGGCCCGCTCGTGACGCGGCGCGGAACGCGTTTCACGCGTCTCACCCGCTGCGATACTTTTCGCACGAGGGAAATACCTCGTCGCGTTACGAGAGGTGTAACCTGGGTGTAGCCTGGGTTACATTCGGACAGAGGGAGGGTAGAGATTTCGGCTAGAGGCAGACGAGGCAGAGCCAGGTGATGATCGTCGCGAAAACAGAAAACCGTCCTGGGCGCGAGCGATTCGCTAAATACGCTCCGTTTCCATTCTCCTCCGCGTTCTCCCGTCATTTGTCTCCTTGTCCGACCACGCACGGCTTTCTCCCCTTTAGGATTTTGCTCGCGCGACTTTCAGTGCCGACTTTGGCGAGAGCCTTCGAGCGGACTCGTAACGTTTTTAAAGGCGCACCGCGTGCGCGCAACGAGAGCCGGATGACCGAAAACGTATGCCGAATTTTGTAAATGATTCTGGAAATCATAGCGCCGGGTTCCACGTTCGACTAAAACAGTTTTACAAACGAACCAGATTTGCTAAGAATTTTCTATTGTCCGAGAACATAAGTACGAAATAGCAGATAATTAAGCATCGTAAGTGGAACGTTATTAAGTGTCCAGATTGGTAGAACTTAAGGTTTCGATCGTGATTCTCGACCTTCGACCAAGCACCGCGTTCGATCCATCGATCGATCGACGGATCGATCGTTCGTGGGTTTGCCCGACGAATCTCGTGGATCACGCTCGTTCTAGTAGATCTTGTACGCCCGAAGCACAGAGCTCGATCTAAGATTTTACTCGGAAGTAATCAGAACCAGTAAACGATCCTAGGTACACACAGTATCCGTAAAGACATATTTACGTTAAACGCGAGTGTTCGCGACTCGAGCAAGTCGAACAGAGGCTTAAGATTAACGTAACGTGGATTCTAGTGCCAAAATAGTTCCTTAAGGTTTCTCGAGGGCAACTCGACGAACGTATGCCGAACGACTATACTCGATGATCTTATTATTACTCGTACGTCTCGAGCAAATGCTGCGTTACCGATATTTCAGATTTTATACGCTTCCGTTACATAGTGCGAACGTTGTTGTTGATATGGTGCTATTGCGCGTGGATCTACGCGACGAGGATGTAGCCTGCGGTTTATCCCCATAGCCACTTTTGCTTCTACATCCTCGTTTGTTTGTTCGTCGCGCCTTATTGGCACTCGCGCGTCACCACGTCCCCTGTGCGAATCAGCCTGCCCCATCGCCCCCTAATTGTATCCGGAAAATAAGAATTTTCGCCGCTTTCGCGAGGTCCTGCTCCGGCGAGAGGGAATTTCCGTGGAACTGGACGATAAAACCCGATCGAACAATGCCATTGCGAAACGACGAGATTCCGTTCCCGCGATACAGCTCGTCATCTCACACGCGCACGAATGCGATTACCACGAAGCACGCTCATCGAAGATTATTCACCGGTCCACGTAAGAATAAATAGAGTGTAGCACATATCTAGAGATTAAGTACCGTAAGTAAGAAGTTAGCCGTACTCACACGATCCCCGAACAGAATCGATTCATTTTCGACTCATACGTACTCCTATGCCCGAGTCTCACCCGCTTTTACATCGCTAACGTGTAAGTCTAGTTTCCAGGATTAGCGATTCTCGTGTGGCTGTTACTAGGTGGTATTAGAGGTCTAACTGTGGACAAGTATAAATTTTATATAAGACCTGAATGTTTCGCAATTTCTAGAAATATTCTCACCGCAAGTAGCTGGTCGCATAGCGGTCGATCGACCGACTATTTAGCTCGTCCTCGCGCCGATTTCGAGACCTCTAAAAACGCTCCTCGCCAACACGCGCAGGCCACGCTCCGCGTCAAAGGGAGACCGATTCTCGAAGGTAGACGGCTAGAGAGAGGGAGAGAGAGAGAGAGAGAGAAGGAGAGAGACGCTTGGAGATCGACGCGAGGTCGTATGAGTAACACTTTGTAAGAGGAAAAACCATTCTCCGTTCTTTGACGTAATACGCTCTGGTATTCTATCGCATCGCGCATCATCGGCTCGTAAGGACACTTTAGAGATAATTACTCGTAGAGTCTGGTCGAAATAAGACTTAATTAACGATTAAGCGAGACGCGGATCCCCGAGATCCCGGCACACAACCGTTCCATATGATCAATTAAATTCGAATCGTAGTAATTAAGCGAACGGCGACGGAGAGCAGTCAGCTGAAACTTGGGCTTGGACGATATCGAGCTTTCGATCATGGATTACGTTCTTCCCCGTTCATACGAGTTCCCAGCACCGCCCCTGCCTTCGTTTGTCCCCTCGCACCCTTCTCGGGGGTGGATCGGAACGAGTCAAGGTCCGAAAGTAACATTGCCCATCGTGTGCTACATACCCGTGTACGCTGAAGGCAGATGTGTAAGTCTTTCGGAACGAACGTGTGTGGACATTCATTTTCGCTAAAGTACCACGTTGTATATGTCAATTTATTTTGCAAAATAAACCATTGGACACGAACACTGAGTCATCGTGAGTCTCCGTGGCAAATTCACCGCCCATGCTAGTCAACCGCTCACTTCCGTTCCTTCGTTCACGCAACCGAAGCTTTACCCCGTTTCATTCCCGGCTCGTCGATTAATATAACGGGCGAGACGTTCGTCGATCAACCATCGACGTGGTTAACCACGGAAGATAACATCGCGTCGGTAACCTTGTACCGCGAGCGTTCGCCGGTATCACGAAATCGATGACGGCGGGTGTGTAGGTAGGTACGCGGACCCTCCTCGGAGCACGCGAGAACCGACGAGCGAACAGGGGTGGTAGCAGTGGTCCGACTACTAGCCAAGGGTTGAACTGTTTTACTCGTCGTAGCACCGACGGTACGCGCCATCTAGCTATCGCGAGCTCGGGGGGTTAAAATCTCGCGGCTCGGCGGATAACGCGCGCAAAGAGGGTGGAAAAGGCGGAGGATCGAACGGCGAGGCTGGCGGCGCCAATGGTGAATCCGGCGAAACGCGAAATATCACTGAATTATACATGCGCGTTTTTAATTCGGTAATCAATAGTAAAAACCGCTAATATATCCCCACCATTTTTCCGCTATTTAGAATTCACCAATGCCCATCTGCCGACAACCCTTTCCGATCGCGTGTGGGAGGAGCCGCCAAATACCGGGTTCTCCGTTCTCGCGGTCGATCGCGGGGCATTTCCAAGGTTCGACCTTTTTCTTCTTTAATGCGACAAACGAGATAACGAACGGAACGAGGATTCGCGAGACGAGAGAGAAAGAGAGAGAGAGAGAGATAGAGGCGCGCGTATCGCCTAGAAACGCGAACGTTCTGCCGATAAACGGGGGAGGAATTCGTGCCGAGAGCGAGTTTTTCAGCGGCCAGAATTTCAGAGGATAGAGAGACGTATCCGTTGGACCGACAACGGACGGTTTGTTCGATAATTTCTCCAAGGCGAGGCCAAATTACCTACGCGAGAGACGGCAGGCACGCGGCTACCTCGTTGTACCGCGACCATAATTGCCGTTTATTAAAGACGATTGCAAAAACGGGGACAGGTGTTCGGGAGAAGAGTAGCGAGGGAGACGATGGCACGGGGACTCTGAAAAGTCTGCCACGTTCGCATCTACGAGAGTCGGGTGGCCAGCGTCGGTCGGAGCTTGTGACAGCTCTCGCGGCAATTTCGTTTTGAAAGAGCGCAGCACGACGGTGCAGCTTCCGCGGGCGGCTGATGGCTCGCGGGCGTGTGCTCGAGGAGGAAAAATCGGCCCGCTGGCGAGGAACGGGTCGCTGGTCCGGCCGACGAACTCGCGACGAACTTTCACACCGACCGACGTCCCACCATCGGCGGCGATGCTGACGCAGGCCGCGAATGGAGCGAAACGGGACTGCCCACCGACGCACGGCACCGCGCTCTTGGCCAATTATTTTTACCCGTGGAATCGAATTATCGGGCGCGGCGATTAACGCGGATTTAATCGCACCACTCGTGTCGTCCTTTCGCGACCGGCCGAGGAAGGACGGCGAGAACGGCGGCGGTCGGGTGAGCGAGGCAGACGGAAGGAAACGCGCGGGAGATAGAAAATAGAAGGAAAAAGGGGTGGCATAGGGCGGGAGCGTGATATCTACGCGTGGGTGACAAGAGAGCGGGGCTAAACAGGAGGTTAAGGGTGAGCGGGAGGAAAAGAAAGGAAGAGGGGTAGAG